ACGCTGGCCACGCACCCGTTCCTCAACATCAGCGTTCCGAGCTTTTCTCTTGCGACACGCTGTCCGTTTGCATGGCACTACGTGTCGCCAGGGGCGCCGCCGCGACACGCTGAGCAACAGTTCCTGACCGCATTATGTCCCTCCGCAGAGATCCGATGTTTTGCTTTTTCAGTACGCCCTCCCCCCCCCCAAGAAGCCCCGACCCTTTCCCCGGGCCCCAGGGCTGGCTTTTTTGTCCCGAGTCGTTTCTTGACGGTCCAGGGGCCTGGACAGTGCCCCTGCTGTTTCCAGCACCTTGGATCCATGGGTTCTGCTCCACCTCCTCCTCCTCCTCCTCCTGTCTGCCGCCACTTGGGAGGACCCCACGGCCGACGCCTCCGTGGGCAACGTGACCGGCAGCAACTCGGTGAACGTGTTCCTGGGCCTGGGGCTGCCGTGGATCATGTCCAACGCGTACTGGGACTGGCACAGAGGCGAGCCCGCCACGAAGCGAGCGGGCCCTGACGTAAGCAGGTCCCGAGCGAGCCCGCCATGAAGTGAGCGAGCGAGCGAGCGAGTCTTGTCGTCTGTTTTTGACCTCCCCCGTTCCTCCGCGGGCCCCCCGGACGGAAAGCTGGTCTTGGGAGAGGGCCCTGGGGTCTAGGACCCGTTTCCCCAATGACCCGTCATGCCTTGTTCTTAGCGCTTTCCTCTTTTAGCCAGTGGCTCGATCATCTTTCGGCAAGGTACGCCTGATCGGCCAGTCCTCCTCCGTTCCCTGTCCTTCGCCTCTCCTCCAGCTCTTCCTCCTCCTGCTACCTCCTCCCCCCCCTCGTCCTCTCCCTCCTTCTTCTCGTCCCATCCCCTCCCTCTTCACCCTCCTGTGCGGACAAGATTTGCATCCATTGCGTTTTGGACTCTCTTGGAAGGGGCGCCACAAGGCCGAGGCGCAGTGGATATGGATACAAAACTAGCCCCCCAAGGAGCCAGATCTTTATGAATATCCAATGCGCCGCGGTCTTCTGGGGAAGGGAGCCCGAGACTCCAAGACGCAGTGGATATGGATACACATGTGGCCCGCATCCTGCTCTCTTCCGTCCCCCCTTGCGGGCAGTTGGGGCTAGAGGTGCGGGGCGGGACACGGAGACGGACGGGGGAAGGGGAGAGTTGAGGGATAGAGGACGGAGAAGGGAGGATTGGGGGAGGGAGGGTCAGGGACTGACGATGATAGGGGAGGAAGGAGGACTGGTCGAGGAGAACGAGGACGGAGCAGGGATGATGAGGGAGGGAAGGAGGGATGAGGTGTGAGAGAGGGAGAGGGAGCGCGAGAGATATAGAGAGATAGGCAGGAACTTAGTATAGCTGTATGTCTCTCTACCTAAATGTGCATCTAAGTATCGTGATATATATATATATATATTATTTACACATTATATGTACACAACTGTATATGTATGTACCTATATGAAATCACACGAAAATATGCACATGTATATATATATATAGGTCCTTATATATACACGCTCAGCCGCCTTCCCAGCACTCCCAACCAGTATCCATAGGAAAGAAGAGCTAGCTTTGTCTTCGAAGCAGGGTCTCTCTCCGACGACACGATGACTAAACTTCGCACGCTGCCATTATTGGACTACCAATCGCATGGCCCACATAGATACAGCCACGCGCCGCGCGTGGCTGTATCACAATGGACGGGGCGCGCGCGTGACGCGCGCGCGCACCCCGTCCATTGTGATGTACCTACCTTTTCTTGTGTTGTCGCGCTGGAAGCTCGTTGCTGCTGAAATTCCGACTGCATTCGAGTAGACTTCTATCAAGACTTCAAAATGAATGGGCCATATGCCATATCCAGATTACCCCTTTCTGCATATGGGCATATTTGCAATACGGTTCCCACAGGAGATGCGCATATGCTGCAAGGACCAAGGGTTTTCTAGTGCATTCGGATGGAACTCGAACCGGATATAGATAGGAACCGCTGCATACATCAGACCAATTGATTCCGATGTGATTATACTGGGATCTCATGATGTTTCCAACAAGAACAGAGCACATCCCAGATCCAGCGGACCTTTGTTGGAGTGGACTATGATTATAGTCGGGCCTCCTTTGGAACGGAACATATCACGCATTTAGACAGAAGGTTCCTACTGGATGTGCGAAGGGTTTGAACGGGAATGCGCGCCAAGAATGGAACGGACCCTAGATTCAAGGGAGTCCTGCTTCATTCTTGCAGGGTCCTGATATGATTTCCATACGAACGGAATGGGTCCGAGATTCAGAAGAGTCCTGTTGGCAGCGCGTAGAATTGCTTCACGATTGCATGAGGAGTAGATGATACCCCATGCCCAAGGAAAACTCCTTACCGCGTTCGATCGGGACGGAATTGGCATCAGCTCAGACGAACCCCATTGATTATGAATAGGGTTGAGTAAAGCCTTTTCTGGAAATTAGCATAAGCTGGATCATCTTGGGGTGTCTCACTATTCGAGAACACTGTGCCAATGATGCTTTACTGGGGATATCAGGCACCAGACCATGATGATACCACTTGTGGTCGAAGAGAACTCGATTCATATTCCTAGGGGGGTCAGGTCCCAGAGCCAGAGGAGTTGTATTGTTTCCAAATCGGGTGCCCATGGGCATCTGAGAGGAATGGAGCAGGCCCCATTCGCTGCTTCTCCCTCTCTCTCTCTCTATTCCTCTCTCTCTCTCTCTATCTCTCTCTCCTTCTCTCTCTTTCCGGAGCGAGCGCCGGTCCTCGCTATTGTCAGCCAGCGAACGACCGAGGGTCGGAGCGTTCAGCGGAGTGCCAGTTGCACTGCGTCGGCGAGCGAGAGTTGGCTAGCCCCCCCCCGAGCGGTGCGGAAGGCGAGCTATGCCTACCTCCCCTGGTGCGTCGCACAAGAGGAACGACTTCCCCTCTGGACTGTTTCGGCCCGGCGAGGGTCGCAGAGTGAGGCTCCCGGGGCCCGCGAGCTTGAACGCAATATTTGGAGCCCCTGGCGGATCGTCGCGGTTTGCAAAAAAATGGGCTGGCGCGCTCCGAGGGCGCTCTCGTGCGAGCCCGCTCGCGCGTGGCGCAATCTGGTGCGCCCCGATGGCGCTTCCGTGCGTGCCCGCTCGTGCGCGGCGCGTTCAGGTGCGCCCCGAGGGCTCTTTTGTGCGCGTCCGCTCGCGCGCGACGCGCTCTGGCGCGCCCTGGGGGCGATGCCGTGCATGCCCACTTGCGCGCTGAAGTCATTGGCGCGCTTTGAGGGCGCTCTCGTGGGTGTCCGCCCGCGCGCGCCGCTGTCTGGCGCGCCCCGAGGGTGCTCCGGCGCTTGCCCGCTGGCGCGCGGCAGTGGTTGGCGTGCCCCGCGGGCGCGCGAGCCCGCTCGCTCGCTCGCGCGCGCAGCCTGGCGCTCCTCCAGGGCGCTTCTGTGCGCGCCCGCTCGTGCGCAGCGCCTTCAGGTGTACTCCAAGGTTTTTTTTTGTTGCGTGCCCGCTCGCGCGCGGCGCATCCTGGCGCGCCCCAAGGGCGCTCTCGCGCGCGCCCGCTAGTACTGACAGTGCTTCCGCGCGTGCCCGCCCGCCGGCAGCGCTCGCGGGCGCGCCGTGAGGGCGCTCTCGCGAGTGCTCGCTCGCACGCACGCGGCGCAATCTGGCGCGCCCCGCGGGCCTCCCGAGGCGCGCCCCGAGGGCGTTCAGAGTGCGCCCGCTCGTGCGCGGCGTCCTCCGGCGCCAGGGCGCCTCTTTGCGCCCCCGCCCCCGCGCGGGGCGCTGTCTCGCGGCTGGCCCGTCTCGCGGGCATTTCGCCGCGCGCCCGCTCGTGCGCGGCGCTCGCGGGCGCGCCCTGAGACCGTTTCCGCGAGTGCCCCCTTCCCACGCGGCGCATTCTGGCGCGCCCCGAGGGCGCTTTCAAGCGTGCCCGCTTGCCCGCGGCATATTCTGACGCGCTCCGAGGGCGCCTTCGCGCGCGCCCTCTCGCGCGCTGCGCTGGCTGGCGCGCTCCAGGGGCGATTCGACGAGCGCCCCCTCGCTCGCGGCGCGCTCTGGCGAGCCCCGAGGACGCTCTCGCGCCCGCCCGCGAGAGCGCGGCGCATTCTTGAGCGCCCAGAGGGTAATTCCTTGCGCGCTCGCTCGCATGTGGCGTTCGCTGGCGCGCTCCAGGGGCGCTTCCGCGCGTGCCTGCTCGCGCGCGGCGCTCTGTGCTGACGCTTCCCATGGGGCCCCCATCCCGCGCGGCGCTTGCGCGGCGACTGCCGCTGGCGTCTTCTCGCGTAGCCCTTCCCCCACCCCGCTCGGCGGTGGCGTCGCGAAACGTCGGCTTTGCGACGCCGCGGCGCCGCGTCCGCGCGGGCGCCCGCGCGCGTTCGCGCGTTTGCTGCCTGCGCAGCGCCACCTTGCCCGGCGCTGCGAGCCGGTCACCTCACTGACGTCGCTCGCGGAGAACCAGCCCGCCAGTTTCGGGGCGGCCTTTTGCGCTGCCATTGGCGACGTCAGCGCGCCGGTCGCCCTCCAGGATGAGATTCGCGCGGCGCATCCAACCGCCGCTGGCGGGCCCCGCGCTCGACAGACAGAAATGCTTCGACTCCCCCGTTTCTGACGTCTCTCTAAACCTTGCGCCCCGCGCTGGTTGCCCGGCGGACGTCGCGCAGGTTGGGCGCCATCTCGGCGCAAACCACAGTCGGCGCGCCCGCGCGGGGGGCGCCTACTCCCCGCCCATGCAGCGCGCCAGCGGGCACCTCCAAGGCAGTTCGGTCTCTCTGGGTGACATCGTGACATCGAACTATTCATGCGCAACTGGATTAGGCGGCAGCACAGGTGCATCCCGCAGTTGCTCAGCATCACGTGAGTCGGCGACGGCAACTCCGTGGCTCCTGCGGCGGAGGAATTTACAGACCTCGCTCGACCACACAGTTCTTTCTGACAGGATGCCTGCGCAGAAATACACCATTGTAAAGTTGCGGGGTGGGCCCTGTTAGAAGAGCTTCATCGATGGGTGGCCGCTTCGCGCCTGAAACATCGCCAACCCGTTACTCGCCGCCAGGTGAAGCTAGGGGGCAGGCAGCTAATTGACGTATCGCCCGTGGTCGACGGCCCTCGCATGAACCTCGAAGCCACGGCGGGTGCTAGAGTGAGGAAGGCGATCAAAAGACTCCCACTCATTGAGCGCCTTCCCCTGTGGCCAGCGTTTGCACCGCTGGTGCGGTTCGCCTGGCGACGGTCGGAAACCTGCGCGAGAACGCCGCGTTTGCCGCCATTCGACCTGTAAAAAGCCATCCCACACCTCACAATGGGCTCTCTACGGCCTGGTGTTCCCGGGCCACGCTATTGAATTCGGCGCCACCATTCAAAGAGAGGCGCCAAGAAGGCCCAGGAGGCAAGCGTGTCGAGACACCAGCGTCAGTGCCAAGGCCGAGGAGCTGCTTGGCCATGCACAATTTTCCCCAAGAGGGTGGGCCGATCGGCAGAGCGTGGCAGACTCTTGCCCCATTCGGGCGGACATGGCCCGAGCTTGCCACAATGTGCGACGACTGGGCCACCCGCCATTCGTCAAGGGCAGAAAAAACGCCCCTACCTTGGTTTACGGGGCGCTGTGCGCTGAAACTCCTGTGGGCCGACAGGCCAAACCCTGCGTGATATGCCACGACCTAGCGGCTCTAGGCTTTGGGGGTTCCCGGGAGGTTTACAGACCACGCACTTGTAACCCAGGGTAGGGTCGTTTTTTCATCCCTCGAATTCGTGGATTCAGCTGCCGGCTGCTTTTTCCACCCACGCCCGTCGGGCGGCACAGCGGGAAGCGTTCCTCCGCCGCGTTCCAAACACCAGGCCCGACCTCGGCGCCGTCGACGTTGCCGGGCAAGGCCCTGGCGCAGGCGAGCGCGCGTGTGCAGGCGGCGCTGTTGCTGCGGGTGCGCAGACGGGCCTTTGGGCGGCCTGGTCACCGCATGCTCGCTTTGCCTTCCAGGCGGGGCCCCTCATGGGCCGCACTGGTGGTGGTTATGTGGGGGGGGTAATACCACCACCCCTGCTTCGTCAACGGCGCCCCCGGGTCTTGTGAAGTAGGCCTGCGGGGCGCCCGTGGCCCCGGAGCCTGGACAGGCCTGCTGTCCGAAGTGTTGCGCGCGCGCGCTTTCTCTCTCTCTCTCTCTCTCTTTCTCTTTCTCTCTCGCTGTCTCTCTCTCTCTCTCTCTCTCTCTCTCTCTAGTTATATATATATATATATATATATATATTTCTCTTTCTCGTTCTTTATCCACCTCTCCCTGTCTCTGCCTGTCTCTCCTTCTGATGTGCCTCTCTGGCTCTCTTTCTCTCCCCCTGTCGTTTTCCTCGGTCGTATTAATTCTGTAAGTTCGTTACATGAGAAGGAGGAGGACGAGTAGGAGGAGGAGGAGGGGGAATTGTAGCAGTACGATGGCGGTGGGTGCGATCATCCGGATAATTTGCGAGAAGAGCGTTTGACAGGGAATCGTTGCAGGTCCGCCCTGGCGGATCAATGTTTTTTAGAGCGTCCTGGTCGCGATGGCTGCGGAACCAGTCGGGTACACTATTGTCATACTTGGCCTGGTTGCGCCTGCTTCGAAACATATGAAATGCGCGCTATTCCTGCCCTTCTATGTTGTGTTGTTGTGACCTGGTGCCACGCGCATCCCCTCGCCGCCAGTAGTCGCCAGGGAATGCTGGACACGCATGAGCAGTTTCGATGTTTTGATGCGTCCTGGTCGCAGATGGCGGCGAACCGTGTAAACACACACACACACACATGTTTTTCCTGCACTTCCAGGTCTCGGCCATTGTGAACCATGCGTAATTTTAGCGCTTCCAGCTTTTCATGTTCTTTGGTTGCCTATGGGCACGCTCCTCCTTCTTCGCCCGTAGGCGTCAAACAGAAAGCGGTGGGCGTCCTAGCCGTGATGGTTGCGAAACGTGTAACATAGAAGGTGCTATTGCTTTCTCAGTTCACGATGAGTGCGGCACCTGTGAGATACCAGTTGCTCCCTTATTGGTATTGTTGCTTGTAGTCTATGGCTATGTTCCTCTCCTCCCCGCCCGTAGTCGTCAGAAACATTGGGAACCTACGAACCTGTAGTATGTTACAGTTGCCCTGGGGGGTTGCGATGGCAGCGAAGCCTTCAAGTACACGCTAGTCATGCCTGTCGAGCACGGTGGTTGCGACACCTTTATGGTACACACGTGTCTAGCGTTTCCTTGTGTGTATCATATGGCCACGTTCCTCTCCTTGTCGCCCGTAATCTTCTGAAACAAGCTGGATACACATGGCCATCATTTTTGACAGGTTTCCTGGTCGAGGTGGGGGCCGAACCTGTAAGCCACAAGTTGTCCCTGCGTTGCGGAACGCCGGTTGTGGTCCTCGCAATGCGGAAACGACTGCTGGGGTTGCAGTAGGAGGACATTTTTGACATTCGCTTCGGGGCTGAACTAAAGCTCAAGCACGTTCCGCGGACAGCAACTGACCCCCAGTCCAAGCCTGGGGCGTTGCCAGTTCCGAGCCGGCGCCAAGAACCCTACCCCAGGAGGAGGAGAGGAGGAGAAGGACATGCATGAAACACAACTCGCCCGGGTTAAACGCTGCCCACCTTCTAATGGACCGTTCCCAGGCCAGAACTGAAACAATGCGGAACTTCCCCAGAACGGGGCGGATAATCCCATCCCACCCACCAGTGACCCCCTCCCCAGACAAGAGCAATCCCTGAACGCCAACTTGCAGGTTCGGACTTTCGAGCATGGTGAGACCATGGCAAGACCCGCCAGGGAAGGCCACTTGCTTTCGCCTGTGACCTGGCTGCCAATTCCTTGAACTGTCTGGAGGGAGGAAGGAGAGAGGGGGGAAAGAAGGACTAGGGAAGGGGAAGGAGATCAAGACTGCAAAGCACTGGGGTAAACTTTCTTCCCACAAACTAATGGGAGTCCCCTAGCAGAGCGAGACCTCCGTTCCCCAAAGGGAAGAGAGAATACTAGGGGATTACTTCGCCAGACTTTCCTGGACCCCTGAAAAGTAAAATAAACTGGGCTGGATACAGCTGCCCAACTAGCGCATGAAGAAGAAACTGCAGGTAAGCTACCTGCTTCACAGTTCTGCCGATCTGGCCAAAGAAACAAGACGTGAAGGTAAAAGAACGCTGGGTAGCTGACAACTGTCCTACCCAAACGAAAGGACCAACACAAAAGGATCCTACCAAAACTGTAGCCAAAGAATGATGCTCACTAAGCCAATACTCAAGTTGCCATTTAGCCCAAGATGCAATAAACATTCTGCCGCTGAAAGAAGGTTTGGATACTACCAACATAGTTGCTCCAATTACTTTGAAGAAGTGGAGTCTGAGCTGGATCTGCTCCTCCTAGGAACAGGCGCACTGCCTGAAGCTGCGTTTTGATTCTTAACACGATTTAGCTCCTCCTGGAGTGTCTCTAGCTTCTGCTGGAGGTGCTTGATCTTGATATCCTGGAGACCACACTTTAACTCCAGCAGTTTTGAACTGGACGGGGCAGAACCACTGGAAGGGGCGGCATCGCTGTGCCCAACCTTTGCACGCTTACTAGCGTGCTCTGGAGAAGTCGAACGAGGACTGTCGACATGTTTACTGGCAGAGGGTGAGTCGGACACGCTATCACTGTCCAAAACTGGAAGCTTGTCTTCCTTCTTGGTGATCTGAACCTTTACCTTAGGCTCCACATTGAATTTCTCGCATACTGCCAAATAAAGAAGCTGTTCTTGCCCTTTGTACTTGTCCAAGACATGGTCCAACTGATCCAGCATCTGCGGTTCGTACTGCTGGAAGACATCCGAGATCAAAAGCTTGAACTGATGCCTGACTTTGAAATCCTGGCCCTGCTCTCTGTCGGCTTCTACCTGACGAGCGGCCTTATCTTTGGGATTGGCCTTTACTGCCACAAGAGGCGGCTGTGGCTGCGTCTTCTCACTGTCGGCTTCTACCTGAACAGTGGGCTTGTGTTTGGACTGAGACTTCTCCCTGCCAACTACTACCTCAGCCTTGATCCTTTCTGTGCGACCAGACTTCGCTGCTGACGGTGGTGGCGGAGGTGGGGGAAGTGGCTGGGAACTCTTCCCATGCCACGGAAGGCCGCACTTACATAACGGCTGAGAAGCAATTCTATTAGGCCAGATCCAACAGTCTGGTCTGCCACGCGGGCAAAGTAACTTTGAATGCGAAACAACAGGAGCTCCTACTCCTTCTTTGCGAACCCAAGGCGTCCTGGAAGACATGGCGGAACTGCGGCGCGTGGGTGTAGGAGAAAAGGGGGGGCAGGCTGCTCCTGCCCAGCTGGCTTGAGCGGTGGCAACTTGAGCCAAAATGGCTTGAGCCAAAATGGCTTGAGCCAAAATGGCTACGGAGGGTTGCAGTAGGAGGAGGAGGAGGAGGAGGAGGAGGAGGAGGAGGAGGAGGAGGAGGAGGAGGAGAGGAGGAGGAGGAAGAGAAGGAGGAGGCGAAGAAGGGAAAGGAGGAGGATGAAGAGGAGAAGGAGGAGGAGGATGGAGAGGAGGAGGAATCCCCTTTCCCCTCTTTTCTTTTTTCCCCTTCCGCCCCCCCATCCTCCTGCCCATGCCTCCACCGACTTGGCCTTGCTTGTGACCCACCACTCCTGTCGCGGTGTGCCATTTTGCTCTTGGAGTGACCAGGTGCGCATCAGGCCATCGAGGCCACCGAGGAGGAGGAGGAGGAGGAGGAGCAGGAGGAGAGGAGGAGGAGGAGGAGGAGGAGGAGGAGGAGGAGGAGGAGAGCGAGGAAGAGGAGGAGGAGGATCAGTAGGAGAGGAGAGGGGGGGGGAGGGGAAGGAGGAGGAGGAGGAGGAGGAGGAGACATACCAACCTTAAGGAAGAGGAGGAACAGGACAAGGGGGAGGAGGTTGAGGAGGAGGAGAAGGAGGAGGAGGAGGAGGAGGAAAAGGAGGAGAAGGAATCTTACAGTGGGAAGGACAGGAGGAGGAGGACGAGTGGAAGATGAGACGCACGAGGGAACGGGGGGAGGATATGGAAGATTAGGTGAACGAGGCAAGCGAGGCGGAGGGAGGAGGAAAGAGCGGACGAGGGGGAGGGAGGGGCGGATACGGGCTCGGGAGGACGACGCAGCCCCGCCCCGAGGCACGGCCTTCGTCGTGACCGGGGGGAGCCTCGTCTTCAGCGTGCAGGTGTACATGGTCTGCGCTGGCGCCTGCCTGTGCGTCCTCCTGCTCCGCAGGCAGGCGCCCTCCCTGGCTGAAACTGCTTTCCCAGGGAGGAGGAGAAGGAGGAGGAGGAGGAGGAGGAGGAGTCATGGGAATGGGAATGGTCTCCATCGCGGTGCGATACTACCTGGCTCCCCCTCCTCCCCAGAGCTCCATGGGCACCGCGACGACGAGGCCGAGTGCCGGGACGATGAACTCTGGGAAACTCCGCTGTGTTGCCTCTGCGCCGCACCGCTCCTCTCATGCCCCTCAACGACCTCGCGCAGCGCTCGATTCGAGTGTGGTTTCTACCTGTGCCGGCTGACGATGTACCGCCATCGAGCTCCGAGTTCCGAGTTCCCCGCTCCCCTTTGGGGGGCGGGGCGGGCGCGGGAGGAGGGAGGAGGGAGGAGGGAGGAGGGAGGAGGGAGGAGGGAGGAGGGAGGAGGGAGGAGGTTGGGGAAGGGGCCCCGCAGCGGCCGCCGCAGGCTGCACCCCGCCATCGCGGCCGAGCTCGGCGGGCCGACCGCGTGCTCCCTCCTCTCGGGGGGCCTCGCCGCCCGCTGCTGCGCGCCTCGCCCGCCCTGGCGCGCCGCAGCGGGCGGCCTCCGCCGGAGTCCTGCGCGCGTCTGCGCGCCTTCGGGACGTCTGCGCTGGGTTCTCTCGTCGGCTTCGAGGTCCGAGGTTCCTGGGTTCTCGTCGGCTTCCCAGCCTCGGGGTGCCCTCCAGCAGCTGCGCCTCGCCGGCAGCGTTCCGGGGGTGCCCGGGTCGCCCCGAGCGGCCGACGGGGAGCCGAGCTCTGACCCGAAAGCCGGGGGGCATCGTCGGGCGGGGCGGATCGGCTCAGGCGTGGGGGGGTGCTTCGGCCCACGATCATCCCTGTGCCGCCGATTGGGGGCCTGATGGTAGCCCACTCCGCCCAGGGGCTCGCTGTGTCGCCACCGGGGGCCTGTTGCCGATCGCTCGGCGACGTGTCGAGGTCTCGAGCTTGAAGTTTGCCCCCGCGGGCCGGGGCCCACCTGTCGTTGCCCCCCCCCCGGCGCTCGCAGGTCGGGAGCGGCGCGGCCCAGAGGTCGGGGGCGGAAAAGAGGGGGGTGATGACTAGGGGGGGGGGGATATCATGGCGTGGGCCATGATATTTCTCCAGATTTCATAGCGCCTCTTCTTATTTCATTACGTCCCTGGCCCCCCCGCTGGGCCGCGCACATGCCGCCGGTCATGATTTGCACCCCCCCCTCTTGGACACCCCCCTCTTGGCCGCTCCCGCAGAGGGCCTCAAGGCTTTCAGAGCGGACCTTCGAGGATTCTGGAGGCCTTGGGTGCTCCGCTCTGGGGGCCTGTTTCCTCCAAGGCAGAGGTGCGGATATCCCGGTTGAGGTCGTTCGATCCTCTGGGGGAGGAGCCGTTGTCACCCCGCCCTCTCCCCCAAGGGGGGATAGAGAGGGGGGTGGGGGATGGGGTGGGATGGGGGGGGGCAGGAAGGGGGGGTGGGGAGCGGGAGCATCGGTGAAGCAAAGCCGGCGGGACGCTTGTCGAACCAAAGGTGGGGCCAGGCCGAGCAGTTCCCAACAAAATTGCCAGCTTGGGGCCCTCTGGAGGTCTGTATATGGGAGGCCTGCCTCGCGAAGCAACTTGAGAGGCTCTCGTCGGCGCCCTCTTGGGAGCCGCTGGGGCTCTCCTGGGGCTCATCCGGGGCCTGTCGAGCCCTGCTGGGCCCTCCTGGAAACCCTGGTGGCCAAACCAGATTGGGGCCGTCGAGCTCGCCAGCCAGGGCCCTCTTGCTGCTCTCTTGGGGTGTTCTGCTTGAGGGCTTCTTGAGGTTCTCTTGGCACTCTTCTGGTCCACTGTTGCGGCCCTCTTGCCCCATCTTGGGGCCGTATGGAGGCCGTCTCGTGGCCTGAGAGACCCATCGGCGGCGAAACGGCCAGAAGGCCAACATCAATGGAACGACATCGTTCTTCAAGGATGTCGGCGTCTCGGGGGGGACGGGGGCCTTTTCCTTGCCATCCCAAAACATTCCCACCACTCCTGGCGCGGCACGTGCGGCGTCGGGGGGGGGGCGGCGGCCCGCACACCCACCTTCCCACCATAGGGGAGGGTCGAAGTCCCCGTGTGCGGGACGGGGTGTGCACGGAAGGGCACCGCACGTCTCTCCAATCCTACAGGGCTCATGCACCAGAAGCCTGCCCGAAACCAAAGGGCCGGCACCATGAGCCTTCCCGGCAATCTTGCGCCAGACGCCACGCCAGTGAGCTGTGCGAACTCGTGGACTTCAGGTCTTCCTCCTCCTCCTCCTCCTCCTCCTCCTCCTCCTCCTCCTTCTCCTCCTCCCTTCCAACTGCGGGGGATCAGCATCTGCTCGCTGGTTCCCTGCGTCACTGGGCCAGCGCCCTGGCCCCGCAACCCGGGAGATCTCTGCAGGCTATGCGTTCCACGGCCCTCTTTGGAGTCTCCGGGCCACGCGGCGCCCCCCGAGCTGCGCGGTGACGCCCACGCGGCTTCGGGACAGCCGCGCGTCGCACAGGTCAGTGGTGCCTCCCTCAGGGGGCCACATGCGAACCCTACCTCTACCCCCCACGATTCCTGAGGGGGAGGGTGGGGTTCACTTCGCTCGGGAGCTCCCGCACGAATGGAACCCCACCCTCCCCCTCAGAAATCGTGGGGGGTAGAGGTAGGCTTCGCATGTGGCCCCCTATCCCTCGCGATCTTCGGCGGAGTCGTTGGAGCCGCGGGCCCTCCTCCTCCATTTCCCTTCTTACCCGTTCCTCCGGCGACGGCCGCTTCCTTGTCTAGCTCGAGCCGTCGGCCCCTGGAGCTTCCGATCCCGTCCCCAGAGAGGGGCCTTCCACCCCGCCGCGGTCTCTGACTGCTCCGAGGACTTGAGAGGGCGTGCCGACGCGGAGAGTCAGGAACACATCCAGCGCGATGTGTCGAGTCGCCAGAGGTCGCTGAGTCCGCTGCCATTTTCGCTCCAGCATCGGCATCGGCCCCCCCCCTCCCCCTTTTTTGCTGCCCGGACCCTCCGACGCTGTGAATTTAGCGAGAGGCCTCGAACCCTTCCCCGATTCGTGTCTCGACGGTCCTGGGTCCTGGTGAGGGCCCCCCGAGTTCTTGCGAAAATCCTCACGTCGTGACCCAGACACCCGACGATGTGATGATTTTTTGTTCCAAGCAATCTGTGGTGTTGGGTCCGCGCTTTGACCCGCGTCTCCTCCCTCTCCTCCTCCCCCCCTCCTCCCATTCCTGTCTCTGCCCTGCGCACGGGTCACATTCTGGCGCGGCCCTCACACGTTTCGTGTCGCCATGGGGAGCTCCACCGAAGGCCCCAGTGGCAGGGTCCACATGCGGCTCCCCGCCCACGGCTTGTCCATAACGACACACCCCTCACACGCTTCGTGGCTCCATAAGGAGCTCCACAGAAGGCCCCAGTGGCAGGGTCCACAAGCGGGTCTCCGCCCACTGCATGTTCATATCGGGGAAGCAGTGGCAGAGTCAACATGCGGCTCCCCGCCCACCACATTTCCATGTCGGCACACCCCTCACACGCTTCGTGTCCCCACGGGGAGCTCCACCGAAGGCCCCGGCCCCCGGTGGCAGGGTCCACATGCGGCTCCCCGCCCACTGCATGTCCACTTCGGCGCACCATTCACACGTTTCGTGGCCCACAGGGAGCTTCACCCATGGCCCCACTGGCAGGGTCCACATGCAGCTCCCGCCCACGGCATGTCAGTATTTGGGGCCCACCGAAGAAAGGCCCCAGTGGCAGGGTCCAGAAGCGGCTTCCCGCCTACCGCATGTCCATTTCGACACACCCCATCAAACGCTTCGTGGCCCCATAATTTTGGAGCTTTTTTTCTGGCCCCAGTGGCAGGGTCCACATGTGGTTCCCCGCCCACTGCATGTTCATTTCGGGGCCCCAGTGGCAGGGTCCACATGCGGCTCCCCGCCCACTGCATGTCCATGTCGGCACACCATCTCACACGCTTCGTGGTTCCATAAGGAGGTCCACCGAAGGCTCCAGTGGCAGGGTCCATATGTGGCTCCCCGGGCATGTTGGCACACCCCTCACGCGCTTTGTGGGTGTTTCGTGGCCCACCCAAGCCTCGCCTTCTGTCCACTGTCAAATTGTCTGGCCTCGCGCCGCGGATTACCAGCGCACGTCGCTGGAATCTTCTCGGGGCGACCAGCGAGTCGCGGAGACTCCCCTTCGCTCTGCCTCCAGGAGCTGCTTGACTCCCGCGCGCTCTGACCAGCGCCCCGCCGTGCTGTCACCCGCCACTTGTTGTTTTGCTCCGTGCCGCGGAGGACCTGCGCGCGTCGCTGGGACTCCTTCTGGGCGGCCGGCGCGCATCGCGAGGTCTCCGCGCTGCGCGCTGCCCAGGGCCGCGCCAATGCGGAGGACAAAGAGTGGAGAAAGATGAAGAAATAATGGCATGGACAAAGAATGCGGCGCTGGGGTGTCGGGCCATCGCGGGCCAGGTGGGCAGGAACGCAACGAACCGCGGAAAGAGGCGGAGGGGAGGAATAATTTGCAAGGAAATGACCACAACGCGGAAGCGCCCAGGGTTCGCGCGACATCAAACATATTTCCTGCTCGCTCCTGCCCGCTCTTCCCCCCGTCGACGCCGCAGACCGTTAGCTGTTCCCCTCGTGCTTACCACTGGCCCCGCGACGCTCGCAAGTGCGAGTGGTTGTGTCTTTCGCTCAGATGTTTCCCAACCGTCCTGTGGCCTTGGGTATTCGTTTCGAAGAGATAGCGCCCCGCGTCTCCTTCCCTCCTGCTCCCCCAAGTCCTCCCCTCGCTCTCTGCTCTCCGCCTCGTGCGTCGGTCGTCGGGCACGACAGGACCAAGTACGTCGGCAGGTCTGGCGCTCTGGAGACGACTCTCGTCGCTGTCAAGTGGCGACCCCCTCGACGCAGGACCGCGCTTGGTCGCCAGGCCGTGGCGTGCCGCGTGGCGTCGAGGTGGGCTCGGCACCTGATGGGTGTCGGGGCGTACGTCGCCAAAGCGGGTCACCAAGCTCCTGGGGCAGCAAGCGCGATTCGTGGCCACCGACCTGCTGGCGCTGGCCCAGGAGGCTAGCAGCTGGGGGCCAGAGCTGGAGCGAGCCGAGGCGGCGCACGCCACGGTGTGGAGGCACCTGCGGCAGCAGCCATGCCGCCCCGAGGTGTTCTGGGTCCCCGCGCACCAGGACGTCGACGGGTACCTGGCGGCGGGGCTTCACCCAGTGCTGTGCGCGGGCAACTTGTGGGCGGACTGGTTCGCCAAGCAGGGGGCCTTGCAGCACACGGTGCCCCAGGTGTCCACGGAGTTCTACGCCATCGAGTTGCAGTACTCCAAGCAGGTGGCGGACTACATCAGATGGGGCGTGCAGCGCTGCCTGGCCATCGGGGACTGGGCCCCCGAGGCGCGCTGCGTGCCCGCGGCGCCGCCGCCGCCCGCGCCGAAGCTGACGGCGGTGGAGTGCTCCCTGGTGCGCGTGCAGGGCACGCGCGGGATGTTGTGCACCGAGCGCGGGCGCCGATCCCGTGCTGAGGCAGGTGCGGCGGCGCAGCAGTCCGCCAGGTCGAGTTGTTTGCCGACGCCGCCGACGCGCCCCAAGGCGGCGGCTGAGGTGGCGCATTTCGGTGCGGGGCCATACTGGATGGGCGACGCTGAAGGCCTGGGGGCCGAGGCGTTGCAGCCGTGCGACGGTGGCAGGCCCTGCAAGTTGGCGCAGAGGCCGAACCCTTTGGTTGCACGAGGGTGACGGCCGTGGCGTGGCGCTGCGCCTCGGGCATCGGCTGCGGCGCGCGGGGCCCGCCATCTATTGCGAGATCTGCGTCGCGCGGATGCAGGCCCGAGCGGCGAGGGGGCTGCAGAAGGCGCGCTGCGGTCCGCCCACCGATAAGGGGCACCACCAGCGCACCTGCGTCAGCAACCTGGTGGCCAGGAGGGACAGGTTGCAGCGTGGCCTGGGCCCCAAGACGGGCAAGTCATGGGCTACGGGCACGCTGGTGCACGGCGAGCGCAGTTCGGTCGACGACAGCCCCGAGGAAGGCACCGACGAGGCGGTCGCGGCCCAGGGCTCTGCGGAGGTCCCGCTGGCGGACGCGCAAGGGACCGCGACGCGCGGGTCTCCCGCAGCGCCATGTGGCGGGCGCGCGGAGGAGGCCCAGATGGCGGATGCGCAGGAGACCGCGACACGCGGGGCCCCCGCAGCGTTGCGAGGCGGGCGCGCGGAGGAGGCCCCGCTGGCGGAAGTGCAGGGGGCCGCGGCACGCGGGGCTCCTGAACTGCCGAGAGGTGGGCGCACGGAGGCCAGCCGCCTGCTTGCGGAGGTCGTGGCGCGCCGCAGCGTTTGTGCGGCGCCAGCGCCGTCCTGGCAGGAGCGGCTGGAGGTGCTGCGGCGGCGCGTGGCGACGCGCGGGGCTGGCCCGGCGTGCGTCGCCGCTGGTGGGGCTGGCAGTGTTTCCAAGGCGCAGGTCGTGATGGCGTTGACCGACACGGGGTGCGCTGTTGGTGATCGCGCCGGGTCATGGGCAGTGTGAAGGCAGGCGCTGTTGCGGCGGCTCCATGCGCGGGCCGAGCGGCTCCGCGGCGGGGCTGATGCCGCCCCCAGGGCGGAGCCTGCGGGCTTTGCCGCAGCGGCCGCCGCGGCCGCTGGCCCTGGAGCGCAGGCTGGACCGCTGGGGGCGGTGGTGGATCGAGCCGCTGCTCGACGCCGACGGTGCGGCCAGCGGCTGGCTCGACCGCTGCGCCCCGTACGCGGAGGCGGTCCTCGCGGCGTTTCCTCCGGGCGATGGGCAGCGCGGCTCGGCGGCTGGCGGAGGCGTGGCGCCGCCGCGCCTGGAGCCGCGGAGCGAGGCTGCGCGGCGCCTGCGCCGTGCATCGTTCGGGCCTCACGCTGAGCCAGCGGTGCGTCGCCGACAGCACGCGGAGGTACGAGGTGTATACTGCCTCCGCAGCTGGCAGGCGGCGCCTGCGGGCCTACTGCCCGCGCTGGGCTGGGCTCGGGCGGCGCGCCGCAGGCCGCGGCCTGGGGCGGCGGCGGCGCCTCGCGAGGGCCAGGGCGCGCAGGCGGTGTCGCAGGACCGCGGCGGCGGCGAGGGCAGCGACGTGGGCGAAGGCGTTGCCTGAGCGCGCCCTGTCGCTGTCGCTCTGCGCGCCCAGCGGCGGCGGCGGCGCGCCGCGCTGGCCGCAGGCCGCGTCCGCCAGACGCGGCGGCGAGGGAGGCTAGGCGGCGGCCTCCACGGCAGCGGCGCGGTCCACCTCGCGCAGGTCGGGCGGCGCCGCGGCTCAGGCGGTGACGCAGTCGTCGTGCCGTTCGGCCTGGCCATCGACCTCATCTGAGGTCCCCCGAGGCGCTGTTTGCCAGTCAGACGGCGCCCTCAGGCTCCTGACCCCCCGATCTCCTTTCCGCCTCCTGTCCTCTGCCCTCCGCATGTCCACGTCGGCGCACAATTCGCGCGCATCGTGTCCCCATGGGGAGTTCCACTGGGGGCTTCATTGGCGCAGTCTGCGCGCGCTTCCCCCGCCCATCACGGCATACACCTCCCGCGGTTGGTGGACCCACAGGGAACTCCACCGATGGCCTCGTTGGCGCAGTCTGCATGTGTCTCTATACATGTCGGCACACCCTCGCACGGTTCGTGGCCCCAAATATAGCTCCACCGAATGCCCCACTGGCGCAGCCCCCCCCCCCCCGCTTGCGCAGCTTTTCGTGACCCCGTAGGGAGCTTCAGCGAAGGCCCCAATGGCGCAGTCCGCATGTGTCCACGCCACCCAGTACAGCGCCTCGTGGCCGCATAGGGAGCTCCACCAGGGGCCCCACTGACAGCGGCCGCATGCGTCCCCCACCCAGTACAGCACTGCGTGGCCCCATAAGAGGACACGGCCGAAGGCCCCAATGGTCTCGCCCGCATGCGTCTCACCCACCCAACACAACGCTTCGTGGCCCCCATAGGGAGCTCCCAGGAATGCCCTGGTGGCCGCAGTCCGCATGCGTTTCCCCACCCAATACACCGTTTCTTGGCCCATAGGGAACTCCACCGACGGCCCCGCAGGCCGCGGTCCGCATGCGTCCCCCCCACCCAGCACACTGCTTCGTGGCCCCATAGGGAGTTCCACCGAAGGCCCCAGTGGCCGCGGCCACATGCGGTCCCCCCGCTCAATACAGCGCTTTGTGGCCTGATAGGGAGTTCTTCCGAAGGCATCAATGGCCGCGGTCCGCACGCGTCCCCCCCACCCGGTACAGCGCCTCGTGGCCCCAAAGGAAGCTCCAAGGTTTCAGTGGCTGCTGCCGCGTGCGTCTACCCCATCCACTACAGCGCTTCGTGGTCGCATAGGAAGCTCCACCGAAGGCCCCAGTGGTCCTGCCCGCCCGCGGCCACCCCGCTGATGAGTGCAGAGCTTCGTGGCCCCAGATTGGACGCGCCTCCCCGACATAGAACGGCACACCCCCGACGCTCCTCGTCGCCTCAAAGGGGGGCTCCACTGAAAGCGGTACCCAAAACGTCGGGCTCACACCTGCAAGCGGTTGGGTTTTTTCTTGTTGCCAGGCTGATGTTTTGAGATATTTGGATCCTTGTCCTCAGGGTTGCCGACCTCCATGTGGGGTAGTTCTCCATCCATGGCCCAATTTGGTGGCCCCCGGGCCCAGCAACGGGCCCCAGGGGCCGAAATCGGAGGAAGCCGCAGGGAGCAACACATGAACCACACCGCCAGAGGCCTACTGGGCCCCTGCTTCACACCATGAGATCCGACGCCGTGAAAAAGTTGCAACCTCGCGGAAACTCGCGAACAGAGCCCTGAACCCCACAGTTTTGCTGCATTCCTCGAACCGGGTTCGATCTGCAAGGGGATTCGGGGCCCGAGTTTGGGCGAAGACGCCCAGCGCGAAGACGCTGCAACGCCCACATCTCGGGGATCCCAGGGCTGGCGACCCATTCCCTGGGGGCAGTTGTTCCCATATGGTTCCCGAGTAGATGGGGTCAGAGGATCGCGCCGCATCGCCGATGCATCAGCGATACGTCGGCGATGTCGGCGATGCACCAGCGACCTGGACATGGAGACCATCCTGATCCACATCGAGGGGCATTCTTGATGCATTCGCGATGCGGCGCGATCCTCCGACCCCATCTCTTCTGACCCCATGTGGGAGGCCTGCTTTGTGCCTGAAGATGTCCGCCCCCCGATCCGCTCTTCCCGGGGCCCGATACCGGGCCCCACGGGGGCAAAAACAGGGAAATCAATTCCCGGATTAAATACCTTGTCGGAGATTTGGGCACCCTGGGCCACCGATGTTGTCAGATGTTCCCAACTATCCTGTGGTGTTGGGTCCTCGTTTTGAAGAGAGGGCGCCCCGCGTTCCTCAATCATTTCTCCTTTTTCCTCCCTCTCCCCCCTCCTCCCATCCCTGCTTCTGCCTTCAGCATGTCAACCATTACGGCGCACAGTCGCACGATTCGTGGCCCCAAAGAGAGCTCCACCGAAAGCTTCAAAAGCGACGTTGGCATGCGTCCGCGCCGCCTAGAGCGGCGCTTCGTGGGCACACAGGAAGTTCCATCGAAGTCCCTATAGGCGACGTTCGCATGCGTCCGCGCCACTGAGTTATTTAGTTTCGTGGTTCCATAGGGAGCTCGATCGAAGGCCCTAGAAGCGACGGTCGCGTGATTCGTGGCCCCGTAGGGAGCCCCACTCAACGCCTCAAATGCGATTATCGTTTGCGTCTCCCCACCCAGTACAACGCGTCGTGGCCCCACCGAAATCCCCAGAGGCGACGTTTTCAAGCGTCCGCGCCACCCAGTACAGCGCTTCGTGGCTCCATAGGGAGCACTACCGAAGGCACCAGAGCGCCCGTACCACTTAGTACACCGCTTTGTGGCTCCATAGGGAACTCTTGAATGACCCAGAAGCGATTATCGCATGCGTCCTCGCCGCCCAGAACAGCGCTTCGTGGCAAACTTGGAAGCTCCATCGAAGGCCCCATCGGCGACGTTCGCATGCGTCCGCGCCACCGGTGAAGCGCTTCGTGGCCCCATGCTGCTCCATCGAAGGCCGTATAGGCGACGTTCGCATGCGTCCGCACACGGGGAGCTCCACCGAAGGCCCCAGAGGCGATGTTCGCATGCGCTTCCCCAACTCAGTACAGCGTTTCGTGGCCCTACAGGGGGCCCCACCGAAGTCTCCAGAGGGGACGTTCAAATGCGACCGCGCCACCCAGTACAGCATTTCGTTGCCCCAGAGGGAACGCGCCATCAAAAACCCCAGAGGCGACGTTCGCATGCGTCCGCGCCACTGAGTTACACACACCTTCGTGGCTCCATAGGGAGCTCCATCGAAGGCACAGAGGCGATGTTCGCGTGATACCGCGCCACCCAGTACAGCGCTTCGTGGCCCCATAGGGAACTCCGCCGGAGGCCCTGGAGGCGATTGCCGCGTGCGTCTCCCCCGCCCATTACAGCGCGTCGTGGCCCCACAGGGAGCCCCACCGACGACCCCAAATGCGACGTTCGCATGCGTCTGCGCCACCCAGTTCAGCGTTTCGTGGCTCCACGCGAAGCTCCACCGAAGGCCCCAAAGGCGACGTTCGCATGCGTCCGCGCCACCCAATACAGCGCTTCGTGGCTCCATAGGGAGCTCCACCGAAGGCCCTAGAGGCGATTATCACATGCGTCCCCCCCACCCAGTACAGCGCGTCGTGGCCCCATATATATCTCCACCGAAGGCACCAGAGATGACTCTCGCATGCGTGTGCGCCACTGAGTGCAGCGCGTCGTGGCTTAATAGGGAGATCCACCGAAGGCCCCAGTAGCCGCGGCCGCATGCGTGTCCCCCATCCTGTACAGCGGTTCGTGGCCCCATATGGAGCTCTACAGGAGGCCCCAGTGATTGCGGTTCGCATCCGCCCCCCCATCCCAGTACAGCCTTTCGTGGCCCCATAGAGAGCTCCACCGAAGGCCCCAGTGGCCGTGGCTGCATGCGCCCTCCCGCCCAGTAGAGCGCTTCGTGGCTACATAGAGAGTTCCACCGAAGGCCCCAGTGGCCGCGGCCGCATGCGTTTACTTCACGCATTGCAGGAAACCGTTCACGTGCTTTGGGGTCCAATTGGGGGCCCCACCGACTGCGGTGCCCACAACGCGGTATTCACACTTGCATATGGTTGGGCCGTTCGCCATGATAACTTCACGACGTGGACACCTGGAGGTCTGGACCTCTTTCTGGGGACCAGCTTCTGCCTGGGTCTCTGGTGGTCTTGGGGCCCAGCAACGGGCCGAAAATTGCTAAAATTCATCCGCGCTGTTTTTCCCAACCGTCCTGTGGTGTTGGGTCCTCGTTTTGAAGCGAGCGCCTCGCGTTCCTCCCTCATTCATGCTTCCTTTTCCCGCCGCCCTCCTCTCACATTTCCTGGCATCAGCCCTCCGACTCCTCACTTGGTTTGAGGCCCCATTGGTGCTACACCGGTAGCCGCAGAGGCAGCGTTCGCATCCGTCCCCCCCGCCCAGAACCGCGATTCGTGGCCCCATAAGGAGATCCATTTCAGGCCCCAGGGGGGACGTTTTTATGCGCCTGCGCTACCCAGTACAGCGCTTCGTGGCCCTATACGGAGCTCCGCTTCAAGACGCGGTAACCGCGGCCGCATGCGTCTCCCCCATCCAGTACATCGCCTCGTGGCCCTTCAGGGAGCTCCACCAAAGGCCCCCCAGCGTTCGCGGCCGCATGCGTCTGCCTCACCAAATGCGGCGCTTCGTGGTTTCATGGGGAATTCCACCCAAGGCCCCAGTGGCCGCGGCCGCATGCGTTTCGCCCACTCAGTACAGCGGTTCGTGGCCCCATGAGGAACTCCACCGAAGGCCCCAGTGGCCGCGGCTGCATGCGTCTCCCCCGCCCAGTACAGCGTTTCGTGGCCTCATGGAGAGCTCCACCGAAGGCGCATCGTGGCCCCATCAGGAGCTCCACCGAAGGCCCCAGTGGCAGGGTCCACATGCGTCCCCCCCACCTAGTACAGCGCTCCGGTGCCCCTGGGGGGCTCCATGCGTCTCCCCCCCCCAGTACATCGTTTCGTGGCCTCATGGAGAGCTCCACCCAAGGCCCCCCAGTGTCCGCGGCCGCATGCGTCTCCCCACCCAATACAGCGAGCCCCATAGGAAGCTCCACCCAATGCTACAGCGGCCGCGGCCGCATGCGTCTCCCCCACTCCTTACGGCACACCTCTCACATAAGGAGCTCCACCGAAGGCGGTACACAGAACGCGGTACTCGCAGCTGCATAGGATTGTTTTTTCACGACGCGACGGGGCCTGGGCACGCGCCTAAGCCCTCTTCCCCCCCTGCCGCGGGCCGCTGCATGGC